TTGCCCAGCACACATCTTATATAAATCCAACTTTATTGTGAGAGCACGAATCCTCATTGGGAGGACTTGTCCAAATCTCGCTTCAAGAGCATCCCAGAGGCTCTTAAGCGTTCGAATGATCCTTGAATTCTTTGATTAAACCGTTCCTTATTGTAGCCAACATAGTGAACCACAAGGAATGATCCTTTTGCTTCCGAGCCGTATACTCTTTTGCAGCATGTCTGTGAGTCGGAGTAGAACCCTGTTCTGGCTCCGATGTCACTGTCTTAGTATAATCTAAGATCTCCCTACTTGTTTAGGATATACTTGATCTTTCAAATGCTAATCGAAATAGTTATTGTCATTTAGCTTATCACCCTTGGTGAGATCAGCGATAACATTCTTAGCAGCCATCTGTGTAAGAGAAATAATGACACTTAATTATGAATGCATTAAGATTAGTTGCATATCTAAGGAGTATTGTTCTTTCACAAAGAACATTCCATCTCATCAAGCCTTTTATATCGATAATAAAATTAAATTCCAAACAAAGAGAAGAAAGCCCAAAGCTCTAAACACAATGTTTATGAATATACTTTTAAAATCGTTATAAAATTTTTGAAAATGGAATTAGATTTCTTAGAGATAGAATAAATTGGGTAATTAAATCATATTACTATCTCTACATAAAGTCTCCACTTAAAATTATTTGTTTATTGAAATCGGCTTGCATCTAAGCATTGAAAGCAGTGTTGTAAATAGCGGCCAATAGCTGGGCTATAGCGGCGCGAATAGCGGTCGCGGCCCTTCAGCGCTACGCGTAGGGGTTTCGCGGCTGGCTTAAGCGGGAAAATCCGCTACTCATTCGAATAGCTCGTAAAAGCGGATTTTAGCGGGTTAAAAGCGGGTTTTCACGGTTAAAAGCGGATTTTCGCGGTTAAAAACGGATTTTCGTTGTTAAAAGCGGCTAAACCCGCTATCACACATATTATGATGCTATATTTCTTGAATTTCTTCATAGTTTCATTCATACAACAAGCTTATTAATTGTTATTTATTGATAATACAAGAAATTTACAAGTAATTGAATTTTTAGATTTTTTTATGAATTTTATTATTATTTAGGATATTTAAATATATTTAAATTTGACCGCTATTTGACTGTACGCTATTTGTCGTGATTTCGCCGCAATAGCCCGATATAGCCTTAGCGGTACCTCGCCGCAACGCGCCGCGATCCGTTATCAGAAACCTTGATTGAAAGTACCCTAAAGGGGGGTGAATAGGGTTATTGTTAATCTTATTAAATTTTAATACCGATTAAAATTAATTAACAAATATATCCTAATAATATTGATATTCAATTTGATATATATAAGGATATATGAACAAGAGTAAATAAACAAGTGATAGTGCGCAAATGACAAACACAAACACAAGATATGATCACGGAGTTCGGTCCCCACGACCTACGTCTCCGCTCCTCACCTCGATGAGATCTTCACTATCACAATCGGGTTTTCTACGCTCACCCGAATAACGTTTACACCTCACACTACGGTTTTCTAGTTCACCGAAAACTTTACAATTCACACTCTTGCAATCTCACTCCTCTTGGGACGACCCCGTCTCTCACCACACACTTCTCTTGGTGTACAAGTGTATTACAAAGTGTATCTCACAATTAGGCTTAATAACAATAAAATGTTCTCTACAATAGGTGAGAACTCAATGTAAGCTCAATCTTACAAATTACAATCTCACAACCCAATATATGATGTATGAAATGCTACAAGCTCAAATATGGTGTGTGTGATAAAATGATTATAAATTAAATCTAACTCAATTAGCAAACTAGCAATAATAAGAATATGAAAATCAATAATTAAATTATTAGAGAAAAGAGTTAGAAAAACTTCTCTATAAATATAAATAGGTTAAAAAAAATTGAGGATGAATTCTTCAATTGGAAAAAACTTTGCCTCCTCTTTGTAAACTCAAACTTAGAATCTTAAACAAACTTTAAAACTCTTTAAACTCCTCTTTAAACCCTCTTCAAAAACTTGATTCTGATGAGAACAATAGAGGTTTATATAGGAAGAAAAACTAAGGCACAAAACCCAAGCAAAACTAACAAAAATGATAAAATAACAAAGGCTGGAAATATATCCGTTGGAGTTGGTCAGTCGACTGACGGGATGCATCAGTCGACTGATGAGCTGACCGTTGTATTCATTTTCCAGCTCATCAGTCGACTGGCGATCTTTATCAGTCGACTGATGGATCATCAGCACCAAAACGAAACAAATTTTTTTTGATGATTCCAGGCACATTCTTCAGTTGACTGATCAGTCGACTAATGTCATCAGTCGACTGATAACAGGTTATCAGCCTGAAATGATTTTTGAAAACGAATTTTAAAGTCCTTTTAAAGATAGCAAATAAATTCTAAAAAATATAAAACTTTGGAAAAAATTTATAAACATGATTATGAACATATTGGAAAAAGAAATTTTCAATTTGCTCTTACCATTTGTGAAATCTCAGAAATATTCAAAAGTGCTAAAATACATGTTTTTCAAATATGTTGTTTTTACCATTTTATATGGACATAATAAAAGATGTTAACATGGTTTGTATAGTCCAAAACATATTTGAATGTATTTTGCGTAATACACCTATTTTCATGAAAACTCACAAATGAAATGTGTGTGTATATTTGAGCTTATAGAATTAATACACATTATATAAAACCTAAACTTAATTTACCCAAGCTTGATAGATCTTAATTGTAGCTTGTCTTGGTAAACATGGAAGAAGCTTGAACTTGGATCTTGACTAGTATGCATAGGCTTCACTCCACAATATCCGTCAACCTCCATTTGATATGATCGTTATGACGTAATTTCATCCATCCTTCAACTTATTGTTTATCTAAAATACCTAATAAGAAAACATAAACACTAGACAAACAATATTAGGAATTGTTTAACTTATTGTTTATCTAAAATACCTAATAAGAAAACATAAACACTAGACAAACAATATTAGGAATTGTTTGTAATCATCAAAACTAGACAAACAATATTAGGAATTGTTTGTAATCATCAAAATAAGATTAGAAGATGTAGGCTCATAATATAAGACCTAACAAACATGAGACATGACAAACATAAACAAACAATTTCATTTTAATATTTGACTACCTATTTATCTTGTCAATTTTATTAGGGTTTTTCTCTTCTTGTGAAATTGGCACACGCCCTAGGTGTTCCCACTAGTACAACTACCGTTCAAAATCTTCAAAATTCTATTATAACTTTATAATTAAATTTTCTGGTGTATAAAAATAAATTTTCTAAACTTCCAAAGTCCAAAAAATTATTTTCTTAAAACCCAAAATGAATATCATGAAATCTTGTAGGGCCTACATTAAAAAATTTTAAAAATTTTGAGGAAAAATAATGAAAATATTTTCTAAAATTTTGCCATAATTTTTTGGGTATTTTTAAACAATTTTTTCTTTTAAAAACAAATTTCTGGAATTTTTAGAAATTAAATAAAAATAGAAAATCAAAAATCTAAATTACAAATATACCTCTTGGGTTTTAGAAAACCTAGGGGCAGGGGAGCGAAGGCAGCGACGCTGCGCAATGCCAACTAACTCGTGGTTGACCTAGCTCGTAGGAACCCAGCGCTGCCGCCTCTTGTGGACCCACCTCACTGCCTCTTTCACTATTTTTGTGTTTATAAACTCACCACCGGCGCCCACCACTAATGGGCAACGGCTAGCGCGTGTTACTCACCACCGGCGCCCACCACTAATGGGCAACGGCTAGCGCGTGTTAGGACTCTGGCATTTGGTCTTATCGTCGTCAATGCCTTTAGCATCAGCAGCTGCGAGATCTAAGATTTTTTTATTTTTTTATTTTTTAAAATTTAGAAAAAAAGGTTTTAAAAAATCTTATTTTTTTTTCTAATCTCGAAAATAAATTAATAAATCCTTGATTTATTAAAATTGCCCACTAGTTCATAAAAATTGAATTTTTACTGTAGATCTAACATCCGCGATGTCAAAAATGGGATTCTACACTAAAAATTTAACTTTTTTAAAATAGAAACGAACTTTAATAATAAATTTCTAATACTCTGTTCCAGAGATCAAGATCACTATAAAGAAACTCAGATCTGATCTAAACAAATATAATATGCAATCAGATCTAAACCTTAAAAGAAGATCAAAGATGAGAGCAACCTAACCTAGCTCTGATACCAATATAAACCATGCATAGATATATAGAAAACCAATCTCTTATTTAGAGATTACCTGTTATGGATCTGTGGAAGGATTGTCACATACCTCAATCTATGAATAATGGTTGGGAAGTAATCATACCGAGATGGTGAAAAGCTCCCACGAATCACCATGCGACTAACTTCGAAAAATATAGAATTAAGAGAGGAAGGAGGAGGTAACAATGTTCTTTTCTCTGTACCCTTTCTTATTATAGTACGTCCTTGTTTAAAGAGAGAAAATAATCTAATTCTAATCCAATTAGAATTAGTCAAATATCTTATCTCTAAGATAAGTCTCACGTATTTGGGTGTATCCTTATTCATCTATGACTAACAACTAGAATCAAAGTTATGGCCTAAACCGTCGTTGGTAGGTAGTAGACTTTGACTTTATAGATTTGATTTATTGTCCAGGGACGAGAGAGAGAGCATCGTTCTATATAGAAGTATCTAGAAGTATCTGTTACATAGAGGCACCATTGTCAAGTTATCAAAGAATAATTTCTAAGAATCTTAGATGTTAAAAGACTCTTTACTAATATGGCCCTTTAAAGCTACCACAGATGATGTGTTAGTATTTGGTTGTTTTCCTTTTTCATTAAACTATGTATAGTTGCTTATATGTAACAAGCTACTGATATTTCTTTGGAAGCTCAAACCTTAGATTAATATGCTGAACCCAGAATAACATAAATCATATTGATCTTGTACATTTAACTTGACAGCTTCATTGTCTCCTTTTCGAATAAAGCTCCTGATCCAGAAAAGGATAGTGTTGCGGTGCAAGATTTTCTAGCCAACATGGAAGGTGCATTTAGGGCTCATACACTTTGGGCTGGAAGCACTGATGAAGAACTAGAAAGTGCTGGCGAGGTGAGACAAACTGTTAAACCAGTCAAACCACCACTTTGTACACTGCATATAGCTGACATAAGTCTCATGCATATAACTACCACTTGGTTAGACAAACTCTTGTTATATTGCTATGAATAATAACGAAAAATGCTCTCTCTTTGTACACTGCATATAGCTGACATAACTCTCATGCATATAACTACCACTTGGTTAGACAAACTTTGGGCTGGAAGCACTGATGAAAAACTAGAAAGTACTGGCGAGGTGAGACAAACTGTTAAACCAGTCAAACTACCACTTTGTACACTGCATATAGCTGACATAACTCTCATGCATATAACTACCACTTGGTTAGACAAACTATTGTTATATTGCTATGAATAATAACGAAAAATGCTCTCTCTCTCTCTCTCTCTCTCTCCTCTCATCTCTCTCTCTCTCTCTCTCAAACGAAGCAATAAGTCCGGTGTTGAACTTTGATTCCTTTCATAACTCTCCACCCTAATGCATGTCAGCCTCTCCCTCAGCACACAGCCCCACAAGCAAGACATAATTTCTCTCACCCTCACCAAAATAATTCTGGACCGGCTAGTAGAACGTTTGAGTGTGCCAAGACTCATGAAGAGGATGAGTTCCTAAGCCAATGTTTAATAGACATCGATGCCACAGAAATCATGGAACAGGTGACATTCTCTTTCTTCTAACCCCCCGCCCCCTATAGTAAAACAATTACATTGCTGACAACCAAAAAGGGGTTGTTGGCTAGTAATATAGGTAGATTTGTGCAACAATATATTTATTTACATACACCCTGTATTGCTGACACCATTTGGCTGTCTTTTATGATGACATATAAATGAATGAACCAATGATGTTTTCATCTTCCACCTTTTTGGCTCTTCAATGGTGCCTTAATCACAAGAACTTAAATTTTATAGCCAAAAAAGATGGTTTTTTTTTTTCAGAATATCCTTAATCAAAGATTTAACATGCGAATTTCTGGTTGAGTGCTTCTCATAAACTTTGGTTAAATAGTATTCTTCTCAACATGGGTCACTTTCATAGCTGATCCCGTGACCCCATTGCCTGCATTAACAGGGTGTCTATAGTTTATTTATGGATCAAACAACTTATGGTCCTGGTCTTGAAAACCACTTGTGGACACATAAAGTATGGCAAAGAACTATCTATTGCATCACCAAATATTATAGGTACCATGAACTTGATACCAGTCTATATGATTCTAAGTAGTGTTTTCAATGCGAGAATTTTTAAACACGAGAACGTGTGTTCTATTGTTTCTTATTTAATCAAGTCCATGTAGGTGAATGATCTTTATAACAAAATGAATCCTACCTAATGAGTTGAGATTAGATTGATAATCAAAATGTTCAGTTATCATGCACGTATTAGCCTGCCTAATAAATTGAGTGGAAAGCTTCTTTCTTCTCTGTAGTTCTTTTTTCAGTTGTGATATAAAGAGGGCTTAAAGGGACCACATCCACAGTGTAAGTCAAAAGGATTGATTTATACCTAATTTTGTAATTTTGTCCAGGTCCACCATGGAGCCATCTAACATGGAGTCGGATTCCTAATGCCATACTATTTTGATTATTGAAAAGTTTAGACAACGATAATAGAGTTGAAATTCCTCATTTTACAGTACAGCGCCTCTTTTACTGTCTGTAATTTCAGTTAATCTGTCGGGTGCCGGGAATAGACTTGTAAAATGGAAGAGCCTATTGTTTCATGTGGTCATAAAGTTTTATGTATGTCTCTAGTGGGTACTAAAGTTAATTGTACAATAATAGACTGTAGAAAGGAAAAGGCTGTTACCTCATGTGGAAATACATAGAGCTTTAAGTATATGTCACTAACAGGTACTAGATGATTGTAGGAGCCTGTTTCATGATTCTACTCTTATCCATGATTCCAATGTTTTTCATTTGTACAATTTTTTATTTTATTTTTTATTTATTTTATTTTTTTGAAACTAAGAATGCTTGTGTGTGCATGTTATGCTTCGTTGATGCAGGGATTGGAGAAGTATGTAATGACAAAACTATATAATCGTGCATTTGCATCATTTTCAGAAGATGTAAAACGTGATGAGGAACTCTTTGAGAAGATCTCACTGATACAAAAATTCATTCGACCAGAAAATTTGGATATCAAACCAACCTTTCAAAATGAAACATCTTGGCTGGTGAGTTCGGAGATACTTTGTCATGAACCAATTGGCTTCTTTGTGCTGTTGTACAATATTCGCATCCACTAAGATCTCCAGTGCACTATTTTGCAATTTTTTATCTAAAAATTTATATTCTAGTCTCTTGAGCACAATTGATGCAAGTTTAATATATGAATCTGCATATTCTTCTTATGGTAAGGAAGTCTCTTACGCTGGATCCCACCTTTTTTTTCATGAACATAGAATTATGATACTTCCTATTAGAGAAACAGAAGCAATTTAGCATAATATTACTGATGTTACTTTTTCTAGTTTTCTTATGGCTGAACCATATCTACAAGCGGCGGTTTTATAGTCAAAACCAACATTATAGATAACATGCCATTCACCTTCAGGTCTGGGTTTGTCCCTAACCCAAGTCCAGGTTAGTCTCTGAATGCATTGAGTGGGTTTGCTGGCGCAGTGAACCCATCCTCGCCCGAAAATGAAATCCACAATACATTCTTGCTCATCAGCTCTCCGTTCCTAAACAGTTGCTCTATGTAGATTGAAGGGTCTGCCTCTGTTGCTGAACACAAATAGGCTAATAGTTGTACACTCTTGACTTTTGTACAACTCTGTGGTTTCACTCTGGCAATTGTACAACCTTACATTACCAAAAGTAAACTTCTGATGCATCATGTTAGGACCTTGTTAGGGTTTGGCTTTAATCTCATAGAAGAGAAGACAACTTTCAGTCATTCTATCGGTTTATGCATGGATATTTGCAAAATATTTTATAAAAAAGTGTGCTAATAGGTATTTACAAGCACTTGATAAGAACCAGTTTTGACTTGAGGGGCCCCCATTGGGTCTGATTTGGACCAACCATAGTTCCAATCAAGCCAAGTCTGACCAGAATTTTATACCTGTTCATGAACTTTGAACCTGAACCTAATACAAATAAGTTCTGCAGGACCCGGTTCAGCCCATTGCATATGTATGCTGTATGGTTCAAGTTGGGCGGGTCAAATCAAACTTCGTGGCATCTCTAAGGGATCCTTAGAGTCCACACACGCACACACGCACGGCGATGTGACTAACCGTGTGGGACTCACCACTTGGTGGCTCATTTAGCGAAACGAGCTGCCACCTCATGCCCATTATTTCCATGCATGTATATGGTGGTGTTTGGCTCTCATCTATGCAGGAGTGGAGTGCGCGCGCGCGCACACACTCCACTCTTGCATAGCTGAGAGCCTTACTCCATCTCAAGTGCTATCCAAGTAAGAAATATGATCTCCAGGCACACCTTAGTACCTTAAAATTTAACAAGACTTGATTGGATCTTTATGTTGACCCTGACAATAAATTTGCAAATCTCCAAATGTAAATGATAAGATCCTGAAATGATCTTTGAATGAACACTTACATGATGTAAATAGGCTTCTATAGCTAAAGACGTTTTTGCTACAAGTTTACTTTGATACAGAGTAGTGTTATTGATTCCTACTTTCTTTTGGTTCTTCAAGAAAATTTGCAGAAATTATCTAGGATATCTTTTTTTTCTGAGATTTGGCCAGTACAGGTTGATGCAGTCAGTCCTTAGAACAAAAATCTATGTACAATTATAATTTGAATTTAGGGATTTGAATGTTTGCTCCCTCCATCTTGATTACATGAGGTTAATTGGAAAAATGTACAAATATCCTTGTGGTGACTGGTCATTGTAGTGTATAACGGTTCCTCACTTGCTTTTCAGTTTGTTACCCTGGAATTCATGATGACTGGCACCAAATTGATGGCAAAATAACTGGTATAATTCTTGCACTTGATGATTCTTAGATGCAGCTTTTAGAGAAAAACTCTTGAACAATATTGGTGCCTGAAATTTGAAAGGCTACAGATCTACAGTATTCACGGAGTCATGTTCTTCTCCTTAATTTCTTACTGTTGCTAGTTCTGTCTTTTGATTGGCTGTAGCTTAATCCAAAGGATTATTTTGTACTGCCTCCATGAGCCAACCTTTTTCTGTCTCCCTTCTTATGTATCATGAAACATTCTCTTTTACGGTATCTGTTGTGCTAAATATGTACATGAAGCATCACCTTGCTTGCTTAGAGTTTTGAATTTATATATTTTTATGTCAAATCGGAAGTCTTCTCTCAATTCTACCTCAGTTGAAAGAGTGACTGAAATTATTGCTGAAGAATATTTCACAAACTTAATTGGCATAGCATTGGTCCTACTACTTGCACCCTTATTCTTAGCTTTTTCCTTCCCTATGGTTGGCAATGATAGTAAGTCCTATGAGAGGGACCACAGATATTAGCACTTGTGTTCGCAAGTGAAGCAAGGGTGTTTATGCCAACTCAGAGGGTTTCACCTTTCAGAAAAATCAAATTAGTCCAAATGTGATTTTGAATCTTTACGCCAATTGTAACCAGGAAAGTGGAGAAAAGAAAATTAATTTATTTTTTGTCTTGAAACCCATTCCAAAATAAATTTTTTAGGTTACATTTGTTCTTATTATAGTGCACTTATAATTAGTTTATCTGCCACCATGCCATGAGGGTTAGGCATTTCCTTTGCTTTAGAAATGATCTTAACTAGAGCGTTTTTCGTATCCCTATGCGGTGAAAGTGCTATGATAGTGACATTTACAGTCTCAAAATATTCTTTGGTGTTATATATTGATTAAAAGCTACTAATACTTCTGAATATTTCCTCTTACCTTTTCCATTTTTGTTTTCTTTTTAGCTTGCACAGAAGGAGCTTCAGAAGATCAATATGTACAAGGCTCCTAGAGACAAGCTTGTTTGTATTCTCAATTGCTGTAAAGTTATCACCAATTTACTATTAAATGCTTCTATTTCATCACACGACAATCCTCCTGGTGCAGATGAATTCCTACCAGTCCTGATTTATGTTACAATAAAGGCAAGTTTAGTTATTTATGTAAGTTATTCATATTCTAAATTGAGATAATAAGTGCTCGCTGGAGCTACATTTGCTTGATCTTGAGTTTTACAGTGACTCATTTTCAGGCTTTCATATTTCACATGTATTTACACCACTCCATTATCATAGCATAGTTATTTTTAAACCATAAGAGTAGCTGTTTGATTGATAGACAAAAGCTGCTGTAATATGGCATCTCCTGTCTAGTTAAAATTTCAGTGAGTTTTGGCAACATGATCAAACAGTTACATTTTGGCCTATCCCATGATTTAGGGTAATGAAGGAAGAAGGTTTGAGGGAACCCGTCATGTGATTTATGTGAACACGGATTTATAGAATTCAAGTAATGGAGATGGTTGTGATCCTCTATTGTCTTTTTTCATCAGTACCCTTTACTCCAAATGCTACTTGCCCTTATATAATGAACATTAGACTGTTACATGTTTTTAGACTGTTACATGTTTTCCTAGTTCCTTTGCAAATTTATTTCCTTTCCTATACTCAACGTTATATAGTGTCTACATTAATAACTCAAGCAATTGAAAGTTAGTAAGCATGTTGCATGTGCTATTAATGCTTACACAAGTAGTTGATATAAGATTACGAAGAATAGATAACTTAGGGTGTAAATGCATCAGTGACTCTAATAAACCAAAGTATAGTATGCAGAAGAAGGAAACCATCGTTTTCTCTTCCAACCTGGAGCAACATAACATACATGAGAACATTTCACATTGTTTGACTTTTTAACAACAAGAGAACAGGTGAAGTTTAAATCCTTGACAAGGAGAATTCACAAATTTTTAATTTCAGTATTTTGCTAGATGCTGTAGAGTATTAAAAGGTTAGGACAAAAAAGTCGTCTTGTTTTATGGAATAATTAATGAAGAAGAACCAAAGAAATGGAAAAAGTTTAAGAGAGCAGGAACCAAAAGAGTTTGTATGAGATGGGGGACTTCACTTGGGTTGGGGGTAGAGGTGAGAGAGCTTAAGAAGTGCTTGATATGTTTCTCTTGCCTATTTCCTGCCATATTTTTTGTGGACACCATTAACATTTTTTCTTATGTCTAACATCAATGGTCTCATAAATATGATGAACACTAACACATTTTTAGTGTGTATGCTTCACAGTACATGTGTATGCTTGGCTTTCTTTTATTCAAAAAATTTGTTCGTGAATAAATATTTTCCCATGACATTTGCCAGTAATGTTAAACATTACCAGTCAAATATTGAGAGTTTCAGGACTGGCAATGCCTCTGGATATTAATAGAGGCTATCAACAAAATGAGTGCCAAACTAAAGGCTAGGTGCTTTCATGTAGGTTAGGTAGCTGGGATTGTGGATAACAAGGTAGATATTTCCACAAGGAACAAGAATACGAAAAATTACCAACATAAGAAATTCATTCTGTTACAATTGCTGTAGACTAAGCTGTTTAGGGAAAACTACGGCCGGTAGAATTGATGCTTACCAAATGTAGCCTCACCACTCTTTTGAGTCTACTCTACAAGCGTACTTGCATGCTATGCCATTTTCCTTATCGGTGCGCTACTATCCTCTTGCTGCTGAACTATAATAGTTCATTTATATCGTTCTGAATCTTTAACACCTTTTTTTAAAAATACTTTTTAGCATATTGTCCAAAGGATTTATCGGATAACTGGATGTAACTGCTACCTTGATGCCTGACCCCTTTTGCTGTTTCTAGTTGCTGTTACTATAGACACTGCATTCTGATTGCTTTTGTTTTTTTTTTTGGCATAAAATTTGATATTTTGCAGGCAAACCCTCCTCAACTCCATTCAAACTTGTTATACATACAGAGATATAGGCGGCAATCACGGTTGGTCTCAGAAGCAGCCTATTTCTTCACAAATATTCTGTCCGCGGAGTCCTTTATCTGGAACATAGATGCACAGTCTCTTTCAATGGATGAGGCAGAGTATCAGCACAGCCTGGAAGCAGCTAGAGCACTCCTCTTGGGCTTATCAAGTGAATCAGAAAGCCAGAAAAATCAAACAAATGAAAAATCTGTGGAGCACAAAGAAGAGACAGCAAAAAGTAAAAGCGACATAAACAGCTCTGTGAGAGCACAGGATCTTGCGGGGAGAACAAATGATCTTAAGAAAGGTCGTGCTGGCAAGGACCAATCATTAAAAAATAGTTCATCTGTTTCAGATTTGCAACAGTGTGGAGCAAGTGATCTTCTTAAAGAAGAGCATCTCAGTAAATATTTCCTTGAATATCCCTTCTTATTTGCACTCGCTGGTGATTTAACAACTGAAGATGTAGAAAAGCTCCTCAATAGCTATAAACAACTTGTTCTCAAGTATGTGTGTCTATGCAAAGGAATGGGTGTAAATAGCTCTTCTCTTTCTGTGTCTACCATCCAAATGGCAACTGAGTCCACTGCAGAGTCCAGAGATTCAGCAGAGCTGGTGACTAACAATGAGAAGGATGAAGGGTTGAACAATAACCCGTCAAATGAGAAGGATGAAGGGTTAAATGATAACCAATCTAATGAGAAGTACGGAGGGTTAACCAATAACCAGTCAAGTGATAGTTTATTTTCAGGATTGGATGAAAGAGAACTGAAAGTGGCTGCAGATGACTCAGTTGACAATCCAATTGGGGAAAAGAATAATCAACTGAGTGGTAGTTTATTTTCGGGTTTGGATGAAAGAGAAGAAGAAGCGCCTGCAGATGACTCAGTTGCCAATCCAGTTATAGACCAACCAAGTGATAGTTTATTTTCAGGTTTGGATGGAAGAGAATCGAGAATGCCTGCAGATGACTCCATTGCCAATCCAACTGTAGAAAAGAACGAGGTATCTGAATAGCCCTTTTGTTATTGACCGACATGTGAAGATCTTTGTGCTAATTTCATTTTCATGGAAAGCTGTCGGGTGTCTCCCATGAGCTCCTGTAATATTAACTATTGGAACATATCTGCATGTTCAGTAGCCAGGAAACCCTTTGTTGTCCAATGACTTGAGAAAGGGAATGAGATCCTACTTGCCTTTGCATAGCAAATGAGGCAGAACACTTAGTGTTCTGCTCCTGTTTTCACTTTGCGGCGAGTTCTGCCCTCCATTTACTACATCTATGCACTGGTATGCACTTCAATGGAGCTTACATAGTCTCCACCTGAATTCAGTGTTCTTATCATACTCCAAAATGTTTGCTTAAATTAATTGCCCGTGGCTTCCGCAAATGGTCATGTTTGTAAATTTGTTTGTCCTCAGAGCCCGTTTATCGATGACAGGTATGACTATTTAATTCATCACTTAGTTACTGCTAGACGGACAATCCTTGGCATTTCAGTTGAATCCTAGTTAAAAAAAAATGTTACAGTTGAACAAAGTTTATTATCAAGTCAATGAGAAAGTCAAGAAATCCACCAACTCTAGGCTTAGATATTGAAGCGCATAACCTAATATAGTTGAGTAGTGCCCAAAGTTAAAATGTTCTCGCTATTAGATCATTATGTGAACTTATGCTGGGGTATCAGTTTCACCTCGGTAGTCAAACGAACTCTTTGAAGGCCTAATTATTACCTCAGACTGGTATAATATCATATTACATATTTTATGTCTATTATTGTCTTTTCATGAGACGCGCAGGTGAAATGTAGATATTATCTATGAATCGCACAATGTACTTGTAGTAGGCGAACGTGCAATGATTGAGGGCATTAATATACTTGCATTTTGTTTATGGGGGAAAAAGTAAAATCTGTCGTAATTTGAATTTGCCCCCACTAAACCAAATGTTAGTTTATATCAAAAATGACTTAATTTGCTGATGGCATGATAGCCGTGGATAACACCATGTTTGTTCTCTCCATTTGCTAGGAGTAGGTGCAACTTTGAATGGCGTCTTATTAATTGTTTTATTGAATGATAATTTTTCGTTGTTTAGCATCAGTTCTATGGTGTAGTCAGTATGGTCCTCCTTAGTAATACATGTATCACTTGAAAGTAATGTATATAATATGAAGGCAGATGTTATAATGGTTCCTTTGTTATGTCTCAACAGAAAAGTCTATAAATAAAATCGTAAAAGATGTGAATGCTTTTCCTCACTTTGGATGGGTTAGCTTCTATATAAGAAAGTTGAGTTGGCAGCGGCTTGCCAGGGTGTTTATATAGATTATCTTGCATGCCATAGAGGCTTTCTTGGTGAAAAGCTGTAGCTTTTAGTGATGGAATTGAGAACTTTTCATTTTTAATATGATATAAGTATCATTTTAATTGGAAAGCATTTAAGGGGCTCTAGTGGCGTTTATAGGGATTGTTATTTAAAAATGTGTTCATTGTTTTTTGAGAAAAATTCTGCAAGGACCCAAATATGAGAACAACGGGGGACAGATGAGGTGTCGCCCTCCTATTGCATAATGAGTTGGTCATCATTAATAATGGTCAGCTCATTATGCAATAGGAGGAGGACAGCTCACATGTCCCTCCTCTTAGTCCTCCGTATTTTGGGTCATTGTCGCAAAACTCTTTTGAGAAAGATTACTTCTTTTCGGGCCCAAAATTTATGGCCTAGTTGACATATGTTATTTTGTTGGGATTCCAACCAAGATTAATGACTACCATAAATATCAATATCATCCGGCCAACTATGGAATATGCGATAGGTATTGATGGTAGCTATTTATTAGTATCACAAGAAAATGACCTGGGTAACTAGTTCCATGGTTAGTCCCATGAACTTTTGGGTCGATGAAGTGCTTTCTTTAAAAGAAACACTAGAGATACACCCTTGGGCACAATCTCAACCACATCCCCTCACCTGCTACAGTGCAGGAGGCCCCACATGGGATTTTTTTTAAAAATCTCATGTGGGGCCCCCTGCACTGTAGCAGGTAAGGGGGTGTGGTTGGGATTGTGTCCAATGGTGTGCCTCTAGTGCCACTCATACTTTAATCATAGTCTTTTGAAAAAAAAAATTGATCCACCAGAAAAAAGCATCCGTACTAGATTTTCTCGTCCCGTCCCTTGTCATCCAGCTCCTTTCCACCCTAGACATCACTAATGTCATTAGTTCCTTCCAGCTTCATCCTAGTGTCGACAATTTTTCCTGTGTCCAGTTAGTTATCAAATATTTAGCTATTGACTGCGAGGTCGGAAGCTTCTTTAGCATCCAACTATTGACAACTTCCAGACTTTCTACAACTCTTTCACAATTTTCTGTGTTCAATCTGCATTTATTAAATTAGGTTGTTTTCTTAATTTTCCAGTTTTTCTCTGGGTAGGGATCTTGACGAACATCCTGTTGGTACATATTATTTCTGTTAGACCCAAAACCAGATTCTTCATGCTTAGCATTGTGATTAATTTTTTATTATTGCACCCATTTCTAATTTGTACTCCACAACAAATCATAATCATCTGCTAGATATCAAGATTATGAATAAAGTAGTGGTCTCTCCACTGCTTTTTTCTGGTGGTAGTAGAAGATCTGAATCTCATGTTCATTATTTGACGCATGTTAATGTTACTGTGTGCGCTAATAATGTGATTAGTTTTGCTTGGTCCGGGTATAATTCAACTGTTCTGCGTAAGCTATTGTAATTTTCAAACTATAGCTATTTTAAAATAAACAATAAAGAGGTCCTGACTGAGAAAAGGTTCATGTTTATATTTGTTTAAAATTTTCACCTCCAATGCTGGTTCGAATCCATTTCGGGGATTTCTTGATATATGAAATTTGATTTTCAGATAATAAAATTTTTTTGATTGAAAATTATTTCTTTAGAATATGATTATATATAGGTATAGGAGTTATATGGATATATAGTATAAGATATATAATATTAAATACGTATATACCTATATATAATATTATAAATATAGAGTATACTAATTCTATATTCTTCGTTGAAACTTGATTTGACCGACTCTTTTTAAGTCTTGCAAAATTAGTATCTGGAATTTAAGTAGAAAATGTAAGTGAGTTGAAAATATAAATATAACGTGTGTAATAATATATTCTATAATCGATCAAATTTTAAACAAATGTTTGATAAACAAACAAATCGAATATACATTTAGTTAAATAAATTCGTTTATGAGTTTTAAATCCTAAAAATTATTTGCTTGGTGTTAAATGAACTATCGAATCAAATATAATCAAATAATATTTCGACTAATTAATGAACTATTTATTAATTATTTGGTTCATATCCACTACAAAGTAAGACAAGTTTGGGTTTATTAATACATGGTCATAGCTTATACATTTTCTTGGAAGAGGTTGTTTTTTTACGACTTGAACCCATGGCCTTCGTCTCACAAGGAAAACAAAAAATTAAAAAAAATATAATCTAAATTATCTAAAACTTCATCTGCCAACCAAAGAAATAAAGAATGAAAAATCTACTCAGATAAGAAGATTTAGGAACTCCAAGGTTTTTTTGGACCCAAATATCTGTTACAAATTATTTTTCTCAAAATTTAGTATAAATTAAATTAAATTTTAATTTACATTAACATCAAATGCATCATAATTTGTCCACATTAATATCCAGTCCACAATCGAACCATGCTTTTGCCTAAGCAGAGAGAAGTCACATAAAACTTAATCCACCGGAGTCCTCAATAGAAAGACATCAATTATTTAGAGCTCCAAGGGGGGCAAAAAATGATGAATTGTACGCTTATTCGACAAGTTGAGCTCTTCTCATTTCCTGTCCTTCAAAATTGTCTGCCATGCTGAGACTCCGTCGCAGTTGCTGTGCATGCTGCATCCTGACCCGCGCAATCTCCAACCCCTGCAGCGCATCTCCGCCTCGCCGCCTCCTCCAAAGCCCGAGCGCGTCACGATCACCAACCCGGTGCTTCGTCACGGGCAACGGTGGATCCATCGTGTTTGACACGATGTCGATATCCTGTCTATGCAAGGAGCATCTGTCTCCAATCTGGATGCTACCGACTCTGGGGCTAGAATTTTTGTCCGACGAAGAGGAGGAGAACATCCTTTTGAACTGAAGAAGTTTCTTGTTGCTGCTTCTGTTGTTGCAGCTCTTGCTTCTTCTCATCTGACCCATGCAGCCAACTCTCGGTGAGGAGGGCGTGTCGTCCTTCGCTCTCCGGTGATGATGAGGAGGAGGTTTGAGGCAGCAAGAAGGGTTGAAAGAGCTTATTTTGTGGTGGTGGAAGTGTTGATGTTGATTGCTGGCCTTCATGTTCATAATCATTGTGTGGATTGAAATGTAGAGAAAATATGGTAGGACGTATATATGAGGTGTGTTTATTAGAGGGGAAGAAGAATTGTCGTCTTTAAATCCTTTTTTGTGATTGTTTTGAATGATTGAAGGGTAGATACGAGATACAGTGAGCAAATAGCACTAAATATATAGGGGGTCCAAGATTGGAAATGCATTATGTTAGTTGTGCACATGAATTCTTTGACTAAGGCTGGATGGCTTCGACTATTCATTTGGTCTGGAATGTGAATGGGGAGAGAAATAATGGGCTCAAGTTAATTCATTGAGATACATGACTATTATTATATACTTATCTACATATATCCCTTTCTACCAGTGATTTGTTTATGTAGGATTTTTATTGTCAAGAATTGACTAAAAGGGCCGGGACTTTTTGTTCTCACTCAAAATGAAGCGTGAAAAGAGTATAAGTTATTTTATTATGTTTAGAATAGTATAAATTAATGTGATCAACGATAATCAAGTGACTAAAATAACACAATGTCCTTTCGTGCAAAGAAGATTCCATGGGCTCACATGTGTCTCATGGTTCGGCTTGGAGCGTAATGGATTAAATGCAAACCCGATTTATTGGTTGCTAAATAAATTGAAATTATTTAAAACTGTAGAATTGGTGGGCACCATGAAGGACGGTGTAATGGAGAAAAATGGAGGAAACGGCAAGAATTTTGACAAAGATAAACAAGTATGATCACCAACAAGATTTTCAAACATAATGTATATTATACATCTAAGTTGAAAAAGAAACGTTGATTTTTCTCCATTGATGAGGATATCTTGCGCAAGGGTAGCGAAGAGTATTTATTGACCAAGTAGAGACGTTATCACAGCAATTATTTAGGGGTTTGAATTATATTAAGGTAATACATTTAGTAATATAACTAACATTGTACTTTTTATAAACTGTGCGTAACTCAATTGTCATACTTTTTATAAACTGTGCATAACTCAATCGTCATTCAAAACAAATAAATATAACTAATCTGACGTGCGCAACTCAATTTTCATTCAAAACAAGTCATCTGCGTCTACTTATTATTAGACGCGCGCGCGGCTGTTATTGAGAAACTGAACTGAATCCAAATTTAATGCCATTTAGGTCTCCTGTCTAATAATCATTTATCAGTAATGGTTCCAATAATATCTAAGATTTGAAAACCCTAAAACACAAAGTAAACCAAAAGGAACCTGACAGAAGAAGATTCTGAAGGCATCATCACGAACTGAATGAGTACTTGTCACTAGCCTTTACATAGATGCAAACATTCTGGTTATATCAATGACCACCTACAAGAGCAGTTAATAAAAAGCCACAAGGTCAAAATTAAGCGATGACAGAAGAGAGAGAGAGAGAGAGAGAGAGAGAGAGAGAAGAAAACCTGGAATCAAATAGTTACAATGAAAACATGAACTCAGTCTTTGATTTACTCCAAAATCACAGTGGCAGAGAATTAGCTGCACTAACAGGTAAAGATCATAAAACTATGTGAAAACAATAGCACCGCAACTTCAGGGTTACATCCCCTTGAATGCGCCCCTCTATTAAACAATCAAAACATAATCATATAAGGACTAACCAAAAAAAGGAAAAAAACTACACAGTAAAATTTGACTTTCTCCCACAATAACCTAGGCTCAACCATCAGAGGGACGGGTCCAACACACGAGTCCTCTGCAAAGTTTGAATAAAACTTAGTCAGACTACATATTTGAAATAATCAAAAGGGAGTTAATTGCGGATAGAAACTCTGTAGGGTCACTGTTTCGAACTTCCTACCCTAGAAAATTCATGATTGTGTAGACCCCGTGGCTTAAGCTCCTTTTTTTTTTAATTACTCTTTGGCCCTCAAATGGACTCACTAGTTTCACCATGGGCTATATCTCCCAAAATTTCACCACAGACAAAAGAGAAAAATGAAAGAAAATTTTAACCTACCGGATCGTAACGATGAAAGTGCAAGGGTAATGAGTTAAAAACAGCCGATACTACAGGTGTTCTGTGTGCAATTAACCAAATCAATATTGACGCAGCGCGGAAATGATAACCTCGGAATCCACCAAGGGTGTTATCTGAATCCACAAAGAACGATCTTCGGATCCATGAAGAAAATATTGAAAAGAGAAATTTTATTGATGAAAAATTATTCTCCTTTTGGGTTACATTACTCTTCTTAAATAGAAAAACAAATAAGACTCCTAGTAAGACTAGAATTACAAAAATAGAAAGTATCAAATAAGACTACTAGTAAGACTAGAATTACAAAAAAAAAGTGTCAAATTCTATCCTAAAAAGACCCAAAAAGCCCGGTGCCCGGGCCCGGGCCCGGGTCGCCATTGACGAGCCCTGTCCGGGCCCGGCCCGGGCCCGGAACAGTGCCCAAATTGGGCATTGGGGCTTCGAATGGCCGGGCCGGCCCGGCCCGGCCATAACGGTCACAAACGTGACCGTTGACCCCGGTCCGGGCCGGGCCAGCCCGGGCCGAACGGTCACAAAGGT